CGCGGTCACATTTATACGTGAAACATTCGAGTTTCTCCGACGAAAGTTATATATCTTCTGCAAGACTGAATCGACCGACCAATGCTCGCGATCCCCCTCCCCCTCCCCCAATCTCTCCCTGGATCATTGATTCGACGAGCGTTCTCTCTGCTCAAATCATATTTTCCCCTTTCTCCTTTATATTTATCATATTAATGTTTCTTTTTCCAATTTTCATTATTTATACTTTGTGATTTATCCTGATGAGTTAGAAATCGTGATAAATTAACGCATTAGGTTTCCTTTTTATACGCTTACAAACTAAATACTAAGAAAGAATATTTGTAATGTTTTAAAGCACAAACTTTTAACAATGTCAATTGTTTGTTTTATTATCATTTATTATATAAACAAAGAAGGATTCGTTCATTTATATATCATAATAAATCATCAAGAATTGATTTAATAGAAAGAAAAACAAATCTTTTTTGTTCAATATTCATTGAAATGACAATTGAACAAAAAAAATTGATTTCTTAAGGATCATTCTATTGAAGAATCGATGTTGTTTGTGTGAAGGCGTTTTTAATTGTCATTAATTATTAGGGAGAAAATAAAATTTGAGCAGTTTGAGGATCGTTCAAAGTGTCGTTCGAGAAGCAAGTTCGACAGAGGGAAGAGGACAAATGCACACGACTTGTAACTCTTCTCCGGTTGACATAATATAAAAAGAGAACAATTTATGTAGGCGTAACAAACGCCCAGGTCATTTTTCATATGGTGCGAATTTCGAAAGAAACGACGAATTTTAATCGTAGACCACAATCTCGTAACAATATTTCGACAACCAGACGGAAGCGCAGGGTAACTAACACATCAGGGATAGCCACTGACAAATCTACGATAGATAAAAAAAAGAAGCTACATATTAAAGTGTAAAGGTTAAAAATAATTACATAAAGCTATAATACATACGATTATTTCATTAAAGTACTAAAGAAAGGAAAATACATAAATATGGTTCGAGAGCGGCAAGGAACAATGGGAAAAATTCGTTACGTCAAACCTTGCTACACGTAGCGAGGGCAAGATGCATATATTATTAAGAAAAAAAAAAAAAAAAAAAAAAGAAACAAAAAAACAAATATCTTAAGTAGAAAGGTAATAAGGAAGGAAATATATTCGAGTACACGAAACAACAAGGATTCGAATAAATATAATTAGAGACCACAGGCTTTCAGCCCCAAGTAGCCTGTACAATACAAACTGATATTATTATTGATTATTAATGATATATATATATGTATGTATATATGTATATATATATATATATATATATATATANATATATATATATATATATATATATATATATATATATATATATATACATACATACATAGACAGGGTGTGTCAAAAGAGATTACAACTATTGTAGTTCGACGACCTGTACCGCGGGTTCGATATGTTAAATCTACATGTTTTCTAGCCAACATAATCTCTAGATGCATACGCGTTATAGTTTAACGAGTTGTCGTCGTCTTCGTCGTCGTCGTCGTCGTCGTCGTCGTCGTCGTCGAATGCTTCACAATTGATCGTATTCTTTGTCTACTTTGATGCAAACTTTCCTAGTCCTACGCGAATTTGACTTCTTCGAACGACCATGTAAAAAACTTTCTTCTTTTATTTCTTTTCATACAGCGAACCATAACGGTACAGTCTCGACGAAAATGGTTTTAATAATTTTTTATTCGCTCTGTTAATAAGAAAGACATTTAACGGGCTGGTAAGAGCGAGCACGTAGGTGGGGGAAAAAGAGAGAGAGAGAGAGAGAGAGAAAGAGAAAGAAAGAGAGAAAGAGAGAATGAATGGACGAGAGAAAGATATTGAGAAAGAGAGAGAGAGAGAGAGAGAAAGTTTTTCTGCATGATAGAAGAAACGACAAAATCAGCTGTGCAGTCGACGAAAATGCGTGTATATGCATTTCATTTACTAAATAGACATATGTGATAGGCACCTCGTGCAGACTTCAGTATTATTTTTCAATTAATGAAATATCAGTACGTAAGATAGATAATGTTTGCAACTTTTGCCTATTTAGTTATTCGTAAGTTTTATTAGGAAAGAAATTAGAACGATTTCAGACCATTTGCCGATCATAAGATACGTCTCGTCGTCGTCGTCGTCGTCGTCGTCGTCGTCTCTCTCTCTCTCTCTCTCTCTCTCTCTCTCTCTCATCTCTATGTTCCAAAATACCACAAGATAGACAAAGTGGAACTAACGAGTAGACGAAAATAAGTGGCGGTGCTTGACAAAATAGAAAAATACATTGAAAAGTAATGCTACTTTCAATTGTCTTTTATTTAGCATAATATAAACATTCCCACGAATACATAGAGGAATGTTAGTTAAATGTTAATTCATTCAGCACATTTACGTGTGCTTCTCGTAAGTATTGACACAAGGCAGCGGGAAATGTTTGGTTATTCATATTTTATATTGCAATCGGCTGTTGAAGGAAATATAATCGAAATGAAAGATGAAGAGAAAGAAAAAAAGAGAGAGAGAGAGAGAGAGAGAGAAAGAGTGAGAGAGAGAGAGAGAGACAGAGACAGAGAGAAAGAGAGTGTGTGTGTGTGCATGTGAGAGAGAGAGAGAGAGAAAGACACGTTACGTTACTCGAACGAAGAATATAAACATAGTATAAACAATTACAATATAACATATTTGAATGTCGACGACGTGAATCCTAATTACTCATTATTAATATCATTTAAGAGCTTGTATCATTATTAATTTTGTTCACATATAGTTTGACATTACGATTATTACCACATATTATCATTATTATAGTTTTTTGTCTTTTCTTTTAATCTCATAAATTTGTTATTTCCATGATTATTATCACTATTATTAGTATTACTTAAACTATTACTATTGATCATTGTCATCGTCATCGTCATCTAAGTAATATTATTATCATTATTGTTGTCACAATAGTCATCGATTATTCATATTAATTATTAAATATCGGCTATCGATATCATAGGCCAAGGATTATCATTGTTCATATTATGATTACAATTAATAGATTTGCTGCTATGATAACGAACGGATCGGCAAGTAGAGCCGCGTTGATCTTGTAGAAAAAGAATAAGGGAAACTATCGCAACATATCATTCCGTTGCTGCTACTGCCGCATAGTTAATTTTCTGATCATTCCGTAGCTTGCGCATGCACAAATTCAACTGATATTATAACGAGCGAGGTCGAGCGACTATCGATCATTTGCTATTTTGTTAAAAACGATCACGCACGATGGACTTAACGAGCGTGCATTATTATTAGGAAGAAAAGATGAAGTCAAATGAGACTTTTTTTTAAAGAAAAAAACATGCATAAGCGACGAATCCATCAATAATCATTGATTTTGTAAGAGAAGGGAATCATTTGATCCATAATTACCGATCTTATAATGGTATCGTCGAACGTTATCACCGTTCTTTTATGATCGTTATCGCTAGATCTACGCGCACCAACAATATTGCCAAGCGACACAGTGGTCTCGTCGAAACGCCTAATTATAAACATTGTTATTAATTACACGATTATTACCAATAAGATATCTATATATGTATACGCATACGTGTATTTAGGAAAACTGATACACGTCTATGTCTACGTATATGTAAACCGGCCGTTATATTACTGACAGGTATAAAACGACAGATAAAAAAAGGTTTTATTTTCTCCGGGACTTCGTGCAACGCCGAATGTCACCGTCTTTAAGTTCCTACAGTATGAGGGGTGAAATAGTACGATTATTCGATAAATATGAAATTAAACTGAGAAAGTATTTTCTTTCTAGTTTAAAGCATTAGCGCAAACGAGCGAACGATTTTAAGAGAGAAGACTACAGAAAAAGAAAGAGTGAAAGTGAGTGTGTATTAGTAGAGGAAGAAAGTGTGCGCGCGCGCGCGCGCGCGAAAGAGAGAGAGAGAGAGAAAAAGAGAAAGAGTCAGTGAGTGAGTGAGTGAGTGAATGAGAGAGAAAGAGAGAGAGAGAGAGAAAGAGAGAAAGACGGAGAGAGGAAGAACGAAATACAGCAAGAATCGAGAAAAGAAGGAAATGATGAGGAGATGCCTCTGAAAATATTATTTTCAATTTATGTAATATTACGTATGTACATAGGATCGGAAATCGCGCAATCGATCATTTGTGCGTAATATATACATGTGTGTATATATAATGTAATATATATGCGTATGTATAATATATATATATACACATATAACGTAATATATATGCATATGTATGTACATATATTCATCGATAATTGTGCATTACGAGCATTGTTCTTCGGATAAAACCATCGAACACTAAGAAATCGAAAAAAAAAAAAACAAACAAACAAATAAGAAAAAAGAAAATAGAAAAAAGTGTAGAATTTGCAGACACGAGGTTTCTTCATTGCGGCGTGACACGTTCAAGTGAGCGAAATAATGCAGAAAATGTTCTTATCAACGTTTCATCTAATCAAGTGTAAAACACGTACGCGATGCAATCGCAAGATGGTACAAAAGAGTTCCTCCCATGTCCTTTTAAACGATAACGCTGGGACCAACCACCAATCGACCAAAACCAAACGACCGACCGACCGACCGACCGACCGACGGACCGACCGACTGACCGACCGTCGGTATGCAAGTCGATGGTTTCTTCTCCCACGTTATCGATCATATTTTATTGAAAAATATTCTGCAATCCATTTTCATATCCTTTTCCATATCCTTTTCCATTGATTGTACATTAGATGACATTTATTTGTATACTTCATTATTACCATATTTTACATTTACCAAAGATATATTTTTGATTTGCCAAAGAATTTGATACAGATGAAAGAAACTTTTCAAACGGGCTCCGAAAAAGTGAAGCTCGAATCGATCTCGATCTATCGATAGTTGTTTCCGCCAAAATATAGAAATCTTCGAGTCAGTACTTTCTTCACTTTAAATTTATTTATGAAAGAAAGAAAACATACAGATGAAATAGTTACTTGCATCGGTTGTGCTGTCACGTAGTTCCTAAATCGCCCTAGCCTCGCCTTGAGCGCACGATTATTTAATAACGAAGATACGCTATAGTTTAAATTGCATGGTACAGCAAAGATCGCACTTCCTTCTTTTATATCTTTGCATTTTCACCAATCTAAGTTTGATTCGTTTTTTAAACAAATACTTCTTTTACGCTTTTACGTTTTTATTTTTGACTGACATTAGAATTTATTTTAACAACTATTCAAACTTTCTCACACAATTACGCTCTACGGGATAAAGAATCGATTTTTACAATCACATCTGAATCGTATCTTTGCTGTATCAACGAGAAATTATCGTATCGTATTCTTCGATGTGAGGGAGATTGACGAAAAGATGGACATAGCGTAACAACGTTTTCCAGAAATTTTCAATAAAGTGAAAAGCAAAGGGGAAAGAGAGAGAGAAATTGCGAGAAATTGCGAGAAATTGCGAGAAATTGCGAGAAATTGCGTGTGTACGCGTGTGTTGTATGCGTGCGCGAGAGAAAGAGAGAACGAACGAGAAAGTTAGAAAAGAGAAAATCAGTTGACGAAGAAAAGAAAAAACTGAAATAATGAAAACATACGTCGCAATATATAACATAATGATATATTTATACTAATTACAATTGTACCATAACGATTATAATACTACTTATTATATTATACAGAGCCGCCGCCACCCAGTATATTTTTTACAGGTTTACATTATATTACAGTTTATAAAGTTTGATATACAATAATGATTATCTAAGCGATCACAACGATCGTATGTAACGCGCGTCGTACTTTCAACGACGACGACGACGAGCGTCGCGACGTTGTGTTACGCTATAAACTACATACAATAAAGACGAGCGTTCGAGGTTCGACACGTGCTTGTCGCGTAAGCGTTGTTAAACATTATCCTCGCACTTTTGAACTTGCCAACTTGACAAAAAGAAAGAGGAGAGTTATAATATATCGTAAAGAATGTCACCTTTTTTTCATCCGCTAAATTATAAGTAAGGTCGGTGGTAAGGAGGAAAAGGGATGGATAGAATACGAATAGAAAAAGAGGAATAGAAGGAAAAGGAAAAGGAAAGAGAAAAAGCAAGCACTTACCTCGAGCATCGAACGCTCGCATTCCGATGACGAATAAATAAACTTGCTACATAACTTGTGATACGTTTACCGCTGGTTACTACAGAGACTTCCTAGTCGATGTCTACGACAGGCATCGACGCCACTAGTTCACTCACGCACACGATTCAAACGTTTATACGGATTTATTACGGATTTATTGATTAATCGAATTATTACGTACGTAATTAAATTAGACGAGGACATTTACGGGGAGAATAAAGAAGAAACACAAACGCAGTACTTATCTTTAGAAGAGTATGAATGCGCAATAACGAGGCTAGGACGAGGCTAGCTACCTTTGTACCCCCCATGTTCGCTCTTTGAACTGACGTACGCTCTCGTACGAGGCATCGGAACGTTAACGCATAAGATGACCCAATCGTATTTGCCTGCCCTGATATGAAAAATTACTATATTAATCCAAATAAAAACTGTACATACAATTGCAACAAAATGATATTTTTTCTTTTTCTTTACCAAACCTTTGCTCTCCAAACTCTTTACTCGCCATCGAAACCCCTGACGCACCAAAACATCATCGAATATTCCTATAGATTGAAATTGATTATCCATTGATAATAAATAGATGAAATAGTGATTTTCAATAGCATATTGAAATAGGTGTGCTTACACGCTTGTGCTTTTTATCGGATTTTATTCTCATCCCTGAAAGAGGATACGCGGAGAGATCTTGGGAAAGCGGCAAAGGATCGAAGCTTATACGTAGCCGCGGGCAACTAGCTGTCACACGGATTGATGAGCAGTCGAAGCAGTTCCGAAGCAATTATTGTTATTCTGATTACATAATAAGCAGAAAGGTAAGGATAAGAGGATGAACGATGCAAGGGATAGAGTTAGAAAGTTAAAGAGAAAGAAGAGGTCGAGAGACGAAAAGCGTGCAAACAAAAAAGAAGAAGAAGCGGCGGCGGCGGCGTCGAGTAAAACGAGAGGAAAGGATAAAGAGGAGGAAGGAAAAGGTAGGTAGGTAGGTAGGTAGGTAGGTAGGTAGGTAGGTAGGTAGGTAGGTAGGTAGGTAGATAGGTAGGTAGGTAGGTAGGTAGGTAGGTAGGTAGATAGGTAGGTAGGTAGGTAGGAAGAAGAGGGAGGAAGAAGAGGGAGGAAGAAGAGGTAGGGAGAGACAACATAGAAGGAGGTTGAGGAACGCCGAATTTGAACGAGTGGAAGCATAATTCCGAAGGGGTTCGAGAGGAAGGCCAGTTCCGCGAACTCGCGTAATCGATTCCGTCATGTCGCGGACCACCCGGGTACGGTCCTAATAAATAAGTAATACGCCGGTTCAAGCAAAAGATCAGAATTCCAGGAGAGGAAAGAGCGAAGCAGCGCAGCGACCAAGACTCATCTCTTGTACTACCTTTGCAGCTACGTAAAGTGTATAGCTGAGAAACGTAAGTAATAATAAGAATATATTTCGAGGGAAAATCGATATCAATCGATATCAATCGATATCAATTGTAATTATTGCAAGGATTGATTGTGTCTTTGGTTTCGTAGGGTACCTGCAACGAGCGAGAAGATCTTAAATTGCCGGTGCGATATCGGAGTAGCCAGAAGGGACGGTCCGCTGCTGTAGCGGTTCGCTGGTTGGCTACAATTTTCTTGCTCAGTTATACGATGACACTTGGACCGCGTGTAACACTTGGAAGGTGTCATTCTTAAAGAAGGTAGACTCAATAGCGCAAGGTGGCAAAGAGGTAAAACGTAATAGGTCTTCGCACAACGAGAACGCAAGGGAGAGAGTGAGAGGTGTAAACTCGATACCCGATGGATCATCGGAGCCCCGACGACATTCGAGGCGCTAATGTTCAGACCTAGGGAAGAAACAAATGCTCTTTTTGTACTCAGAGAACATGCGGTTTCCCTATCCTCTAACCTTCCTATTTCATATTTTTACACTTATTTTGACACCTCCAAAATTCCAAAAGAATAAAGAACAAATACGCGTAGCCCTAATAAAAAAAAAAAAAAAAAAAAAACAAGAAATTCTTTAGTTTAATGCAGTAAAAAATAGATATCTACAAAATCTGAACTAAAAAAATAGACGCGCTTCGTAAGTAAGCTTTTACCGATGGTGTATCATCCTGCACGCGTGGAGCATATAGTCGGAGGTTCCCACACTGCAGACCATGATTTATTGGCCTGCCACCCGCCAGACCTGCTGTCATCATCGTCCCATCTTATACCAACTTCCCTTTCTACGCGATCTTCGCGCCATATCAGCTTCTTCTTTCCTCGCGCCCCATGAAACAGGAAAGCCTTTTGATGCCCCGGTGACGTCCATCCGCCTTGCTTTGCCTTATGCAGCCAATCTTGCTGACTTCCATACATTCCAATAATTACCTTTTTTCTACGACCAAAAAACTATAGGTATGTCGCGCACAAACGATCGCAACACTTTTCACCCGAGTAGATAGCAAATATTCAAGGATTACCTATATTGCGTATTGTTTTAGAAAGAGAGAGAGAGAGAGAGAGAGAGGAGAAAAGTAAAGAAGGGTAAGAAGCTTATTAATAAGGTCACCTAGGGGAGGAAGGAAGGAAGGACGGAAGGAAGGAAGGAAGGAAGGAAGGAAGGAAAGAAGAGAGAGCGTAAGGGCGGCATGTGGATGGAAAGAAGGGAGGGGGAAGAGAGAGGCGCCGAAGGTGGCGACGAAAGAGGGGAGAGGAGACGAAAGGAATCGCGAGGGTTCCTTCCAGAAGACGAAACGAAGACGAAGTTGTCGGGTGCGTAGGAAAGGAAGAGGGGTTATTTCGTTTGGTCGTCTTTGGCGTGGTTTCCTAAGCTACAGCTCCAGTAGCAGCTTAGTGTCGTCGTCTCTGCTTTCTGCCTTGTAGCGCTCGACACACAGTCGAACTCGTTCGCCACTGGACGACGGATGTCGTCGCCGTCGCCGTCGTCGCCGTCGTCGTCGTCGTCGTCGTCGTCGTCGGCGTCGGCGCTATTCTCCTTAAGACACCTCGTCCTCTTCTTCCATCTTCGCAACCCTATTCCTACTTCTCCCCGATCTTTCTCCTTCCTTTTATAAAATCCTTTTGTACGGTCCTCTTGGCAATAGTCACGATGTCGTCTTACTGTCCGCGGCTCCTCCTTCTCCTTCTCTTGGTCGCGTCACTTTCTACATCTCGCTGCACCGGATGCGCCTTTTGCGAGAAATTCTTTCAACCACAGCATCAGCAGCAACGTCAACACGAACAACGGGAACAAGAGGAGAAATCATATTTGACTCGCAGGACGATAAGCAGTCTGAGACCTTTTGGCGTCGAGAGACCAACACGTGCCCAAGAATTCAACAGGACCGGCGTGTTGCATCCCGAGTACCAGATACCGGCAACTCTTCGACCGGGCAATGTGTCGCAGTGAGCATTCCAACTTTAATACCAAAAATATAACCCACCCAATCATCTCCCCACCCCCGTTTCTCCCAAGTACTAAAAACTATCTATAACGTACATGTTTTTTAATCTATCCTAATTGTTTTTGTCGTAGTTTTATACATTGTCGTAGTCAAATACATACTCGGTTACATCCTTTTGACTTTTTTTTTTTCTTTTTACGGAACAAAGAGGAAGAAGCGAAAAAGAAACGAGGAGGAAGCGAGGAAGAATATAGAACGAATCTATTTTTGCATCCCTCGTGCGGAATGAAAGAGCAAAAATATGTATATTCGTTATAATCAAACTTTCTTTCGTATATACGCGCGCGAGGCACGTATGACGCCTTCGTCATCGAAACGTCTTCGAACGTTTACCCCTTTGCCTCGCAAATCACGTACTAAACTTCACATATCACCTATCGATAATAAACGAATATAGAAATATAATATTACTCCTAATATAACTCCTTTCAGCATTTCATTATGATTTCATTATAATTCACTGCATTTTCATTTTTCTTTTTTTTAAACTACACGAGAATAACGTTTAACACGAGCAACAAAAATACATAGCGTGATGCATGCTATCAGGTGGTTTAGAATGCGATTGTATATCATAGAAGAATAAATCCTTCAAAAATATTATTATACTAATCTTTAAACATTTGACTTGATGAAAGAGAAAGAGAAAGAGAAAGAGAAAGAGAAAGAGAAAGAGAAAGAGAAAGAGAAAGAATCTTACAATTAGGGTATAATTATTTGTTCGCGTATAAACGTTGTTCGTGTTTAAAGGAAGGATCGAATTAGCAATGGTATTGGTAAGAGAATACGACGAAAGCGTCTGAATTCTTCTTTCGTATAGAGAAGTCATCCCTATTCGAGGAGCGCAACTTGTCGCGATCCGTGAAGGGAGAAGTAGTTATGTTCCGGGGGAGCGATGTTCGCGTCGCGACGATACGCACCATAAAAGTTCTACTATCGGATCTTTTCCACGAAAAGCGGCCCATAGCTATCCATATGTACTGTTATATATCTAAGTTTTTTGTTTTCAAGACTTCTGGCGACAAGACATCAGCCTACGTACGAAACAGATCGGAACAGATTGTTGTTTTGAATGCAGTCTATAATTTAATACAATATTTTTGTATTAAAGTATAGACAAAACTTGTCTTTTTCTTTTTTTTTAAGAAGATAGCTTCTAATGTCTCTATGAAAGGCTCATTGCACGTTCCTCTAATCTCGCGGTCTTTGAACGAAGTCGAATGACAGAATCAATTGGAAGGTCCCGCGGATACACGACGCGGCTTCGGTGGCCGAATTTAGATCACGGGGGTCGTGGCTGCCGCGACCCCAGACGCCACGACGCCGGCATTGTGTCCCGGCGCTAATTTTACAATAGCCGTCTCACTGGCAGTACCAGCAGAAGTAGCAGCAGCAGAAGTAGCAGCAGCAGCAGCAGCAGTAGCGCGGCATCGGCACCAACACCATTGACAGAGACAGCAAACGAGGGGAATTTCACGAGGAAAGAGAAAGATGAAAAGAGCACGTGCGTTCTCGACGTCTAAAGCATACACAAGCTAAAGGATGGAAAGGATGGAAAGGGTGGAAGAAAGAAGATTGACAAACTCAACCGATGCGAACGTGCCGTTGCCGTTGCCGTTGCCGTTGCCGTTGCTGTTGACGTTGACCACACGAACTACATAATCAAATCACTTAATATAGCCTCATACGTTTTTTTTTACCTATTTTATATACCCTACCTATATGATCGTAGTTCATAAAAACCCACACATCCTTCTTCTACCATTTATATCTTTCTTTCAATATTTCTTCGATACTAAGAAATTTGAAACAAGGCATACTAGATTACCTATACTAGATGCAGATAACATTATTGTAGGTTTTATTATTTGAACCCGCGAGAAGGTCCACCTTTGACGTTGCTCGTCAGTCCCTGCAGCGGTCCGATCTCGTGGACGGTCAGTTACGTAGAAACACCTGAAAACGATCGAAAATTCGAACGAACAAAATGTAAGTTTGAGTTAATGGACAAATTAAAGGTAGATATCTAGTAGCGTAACTTTTCCTGCTTACTTTCAAATCAAATTTTTCTACGCACTCTGAAAAGTAGATCAAACTCGATGGCCAGTGAAAACTCTTAAACCAGGATCGCCTTTGTTTACTTACGAAGGAGCAGAAGATCAAAATTTTACGATAGCCCGAACGCGCGCTGGTTTGTATTGGTTTGAAATCAAATCAATGCGAGGTAGAAAAGTCGAAAAATCCGATCCAAGCACGGTATTGTTATACGCAACGTCCAACGCCTTGAATCATCTGCCAGGATTTTATGCGAACGAAAAAGATAATCGTCAACGTTCCTTAAGATTTCAACAAAGAAGAAGCAAACGTCGTTTAACCATATCTTGGAACAAAAGGTAGGATAACTTTGATTATGTTCGTTTTATCATCAATTTCATCTTCTTGGTTTTGATTTGTCCTCCATCTAGCCACGTAGATCCACACCTATCCAACTATTGTTTGGCCGTTACGTCGGGAACCGAAGCCCATCCTTCGACGCTTTGCGCCGCACAAAACTTTCTTGTCGTTCACTCGTATACCGTTGGCAAGGCAAGCTCCTCGAGCAACAGGGAGCATCAATATCGAGGTGTCCCGGAAGGGCTTCATTGCGTACGACAAACTAAATTGACTCTTCACAGAATGAAGTTTGACACTACGTACAACTTTACTCTATACGTGGTTGGTTGTATTAAAATAAACGCGACTAACGGCCGCTAATTATTACGAATTATTACAAATTATTACGAATTATTACGAATTATTACGAATTATTACTATATTATACTTTTCGTTGCAGGTTAACATGCGTAATAACGTTTCGAACAAACTTGCCACCGATGCCATAAGATTTCGAAAAACGCCCGAGCTTATGTTACACACGGGACGTTACGCTACGGTGAATTTGAGAAAAACCGATGGTTTCGTCAATTTCCGCTATCGCCCATCGGAGAACGTATCTAGTATCTTCCACATTCTTCCTTGCGGCGGTGGAATAGTCAAGGCCAAATTAAGCGCTCCAGGAATACTGCGGGTAATTCTTATTACAAAAGCGACATTCTATCGTTGCAACTTTAGTCTTTTGGTCTATTTGGCGATTTGTAGGAAAAGGAAGTTGTGGGATATGCATCTCTCCGAGTACCTTTACTACCCTCGGGGAAAGCTTATATTCTGCGCATATCTGCTACACCGCAAGAATTAGCACGGGTCTCGGCAATCAAAGTGCTCGTTACGCAGGAGTCTTCGATGATTTATCCACAGGTACTTGAATCTCTTCCTTCTATTGTACTAACAATCTAACGATACTATCCTTCAATGAAATACAAATTGAAATACTAATTGAAATTAGTAAATTGAAATGCACATTGAAATACACATTCTTCCGTTAGGTACCATCGAGAAGCACGCCACGCGAATATCGCTCTTTGAGAAACTGCGACGAGGTGACGATCGGAGTAGAGTCTGCCGGTGCCGCGAAATATTGCATTCTCGTAAGAGAATTGAAAGATTCCTCCTCTTCAAGTTTGAGCAGCGTTACTAGCGTACCCGATCAGTGCGGTCTCCATCGTCGTCGCCGATCCGAATATACGTTCGAGGTCTGCGAAGAAAGGAAGACCACGCCGAAGGACAGAGCTCTACCGTTTACCATAAAAAAACTTCAGCCAGGAAAGGCGTATCTTTTACAAGTCATGGCTCAACTCAAAGGTCGATCTTTGTCATATCCTCTTTTAGGCGTACGCACGAAACGTACCTGTCTGTTGCATTCGTAACGATTGTACGAAAATTGTCAAAAATTTATCTATCACCTTTATATACCTATCATTAAATCGTTCCTACAATTTCATTCACCTATCCACACGGTGCTCAATGAAATATCCTAAAATTTACTTTTATCGATTTCGAATATATCCCCGCCCGCCCGGATTCTATACATATATTTCTATGTAAAATAGAAATGGATAAAAATAGCATATTCAATAAAATTCCTATTAATTGCTGCTATTCTTTTTCTCTTCTTTTTTCTTTTTTCTTTTTTTATTTCACTTTGCTTCAAGCCTATACAATTACATAGGATTAGACCGTAAAATTATACATAGATACATGTAGAATCGATCATTCAGTATCAAGCATATTTCAATTCAGAATTTATCAGTCGCAGTAATTTAGCCCCTGGGCTCTTCGGAGGCTCTGACATCAATAAAGTTGCAGCTTTCGACAAATGTGCCTTCTTGTCTTGTCCTGGACAATAAGCGAGTTCTCGTAGAGTAATGGCGGCATAAAGTGTCAATCTCGCGTAGTAAGGATCTATCGCGGCGACGGTATTCATTATAAGCTTGCAAAGCTCAAGTTTTAGTGGATCTCTAGACGGTAATAATTGTATCAAGGAATGTCCAAGTGATATACAGTGCTGATGGCCTGGATGTAGAAGAGCGCGAAGTCTAAAAGGAATGAACGAATACTAATACTTATACGTATACGTATACGTATACGTATAAAAAGATATACAAAGATTAGAATTAAAAGTAGAAAAAGTAGAAAAAGTAGAATAGTAGAAAAAGTAGAATCGTGTCAAGCAGGAAGCATCGCCTACCGAGAAAGAAGATCGGAAAGCGCAGCCTTGTTTGGAGATCTCATTGCCTCTTCGACTTCTTCCTCGAGTCTGTCCGTTAACTGAATCACTTCCGAGGCCTGAAGAGTACCTTGACACTTATTGCAGGACCATTCCGTTTCAAAGTCCAACGGATCTCTCGGAAGAACGAGTCCAGCGTCGTTGTAAGGACATTTCAGAGTACCGAGATGTGTTCCCAGTTCTGTTGGATCGGCGCATCGTTCGCACGTACAAGAGAAATATTTGGTCGCTAGCAAATGTTGCCTCCTTGCTCTGGTCGACCAAAGTGCGTGAGTATAATTCGTACTCAAATGTTCGCCCCTTTAAAATCATGTCTTTTATGATATTTCATTAATTCTGCTTTCATTAACACGTTTATAATACTTACTTTTTAATCGAGGTAACAGCCGTGACGGTAATAATCGGTCTACCTTTCTCGTCCAAAGTAAACGAATGTCGCGTATTTGCTAAGCAACGATGCTCCAAAAGGCAAGCCGTACGATAAATAGCGACGGAACCTTCCGGTGGTATAGTTTCGAGCGCGTTCACATCGATCAGTCCACAAATTTTCGGTAAAATCTTAGCGCAGGAAGGATCGACCTCGATAAGTGGTCCAAGATGCTTCTTTACCTCTTGCACCTCTTCATACGCCTCGGTCCCAGGACCGCGAGCATTTTCGTGACTCTGTAGCTTTTCCAATAATTTCCAACGCTTCGACTTAGTCTTCCAAAGTATAAGCATTCTTATGGCTAGCAAAACGTCGCATCTACGTACGATGGAAATAAGATGATCAATGAAAAAGAAGAGATAGAAAATCGATCAGTCGATACTACTAACGGTATATATACAATATTATGTACAATGGCCGCGATATAAATATACTATACTGATGTCATATAAGTATACTGATACTATACACTGATACGTGATATATCTACGTTTCTACTTTCTAGTAGAGTAGTAACGTCAAACCGTTCACCTGGGAAAGATTCTGGTTTTTGCAAGAAGGGCACATTCCAACTCGTGGCCGTCTTTAGCAAAGAGAGCCTGGCAGTTAATAGAGCAGGACGGCCATAAGCACTTGGTACATCTTGTTTCGATATACTCGCAACGAGACCCGCAACCGATGCACACCCTATTATGCGTATGAGGTGCGGCTCCCCAAACGAGTGGTACTTCTGAAATGATCGCTTCACCGCTCGTTAGATCTCTATTTGCGACTAAATATCTCCCTACCTCTTCGTTTTCCTTAATCTCCCATGCATGGCAAATAGACTTGTGTCGTGGCCAGTCTTCCTTTTGATGTTCCTTGTTACAATAAAAGCTGCGCCTGCAGTCGCTGCATTTCAGCTTAGCACTTTTACCGCATACCGAACATTCTCCCTCTTTCACATTTTCCTCCTGCATTTTCCTTTAAACAATCTTATATTTAGATTCGATTTCATCGAATTACTCAATTGCTGATATATACAATATAAATCATTCGAAACTATTTCATCGAATTAGTTTTTTTTACATATCTATTACATATATACGTAAATAAATGCGCTTCTCCTTGCACACACACACGCACACACGCACACACGTGCACACGCACACACAGAGGGCCACGCACAGAGTCGATAAATTTAACTCTCCCTCCCTCCGCCCCCCCCCGTTGTTATTATATATTACCTCGTAAATATATTATATATTCTTAATATAAAATAATCTCTTTCTTTGTTTTTGCACTATTTCTCCAACAAAAGAACTCTCATTCGCAGTTATCACCAAATGTTGTACGTATGGACCAAAATGCTCGGTAAGAATCATCAAACTAGTGCCACTGTGAATAGCATCGTACTACGTACGTCATTTCCAACGTTTAATTATAGATCTATACGCTATTTTAGTTGTATCTACAAAACTAATCACAAACTACCGCCTCTATCGTAGTCATATTATCTCTCTCTCGAGAACGTAAATTATTTAAAATACTCAAATATATATATACATATTTATTAATGGGTTTTCAAATAATTACTATTTTAAATTACGATGAAATAAGATGAAGATTAAATTCTTCAAAAGTCTTTATTTCAATATTGATGACAACGTTATAAAATCTACTATCCCCCTCAATCGTAAAAATATCGTGAAATTATCGTGAAAATAATAATAAGAAAATTTTACTTCAATACTATAACTACGTGTGTGTACTCAAATTACTTGAAAAACTATATATACATATATAGATTTCACATGTAAACATAAAATTATGGAAATATCGAAACTACGATTCGCAAGTGTGCACATGCATAATTATATACATTATTCTTTATTCATTTCTCAAAAATTAATGTTATCTTATGACTCTTATAAAATATCATTATAAGCACATACCATGCGTTTATGATATTTTTCTTTTTCAAAAAGATACAATAATAGGATAGCAAGTGCTTCGATATTTACATTCTTCTCTTCATTTTTATGAATATTTATACAAGAATATTTTTTTCAAAAAACGAAATATAAGTACATATTTTCTGTTTTTTATTTACACAAATTTAACGTAAGCGCGCACGTGTGTATGTGTAGTATAGTAGTGTGCGCACGCGCCTGTGCTTAAATAAAGTTCAGATTAGAATAATAAGAATAATAATAATAATAATAATAATAATAATAATAATAATAACAGAAATTTCAGATATTTCAGAATATTTCAGTCCTCCTTATAGATATAACTATTTATATACCTAAAATAATAACAAATTTAATAAATAAAAAGTTATGTTATTATATCCGTCGAAAATCGCGCTATTGTTAGTAATGCGCTATTTACTGTTGTTTTAATCGTATTCATACGTATATGTGTAATTAATGATATATCAAATAAATATATATTTAATTAGATAATGTACGTGTATAATCACACACGCATATTCCTCTATTCGTGCGTGATTCGATAAAAAAACTTAAATATAAAACGTTATTTTTGTTTGCGAATAGCCTCTTTGACTAACCCTATATTCATATTTTCTAAATGTACAAATCTGCGTGCTTGCATGTGTCTGTCCTCTTTACGATAAAACGTTTGTACACATGAGTTTTTAATAAATTGGTCAAACTGTAACCCGCATACCGTAACAACAAATCGGTATCATATAAAAGCTACGATTAGGCCCAAATTAAATAGCCCATTGAAAGCTATTCCGATTAATTTTCAAAAGGAATACAAAATTTTTCAATTACTTAACAACGCGTAGACTTATTTATTTTAATAAGAGAACCAAATGTTTCCATTTTTTTTTCTCTTTAAACGTAAAAAAATATGACCATAAGATCCTTATAAATTATATGCTTTCAATTTCTTACTTTTTATCTATTAATAAACGCAAATCAACGGTCGAAAGCAGCGCCGTTAGATTTACTTATTCTTCTGTTGCCAAAAAATTCACATTTTTACAACTAGTTGTACCTTTAAATCTTATATGTCTTATAATTGATAATAATTAATCAATTATATGATGACGAATAATTAAAACTTGATACGATTTACAGCAAAATAGAAATATGTAGAATTCTTATTATATCACACAATGTTTTTCTATATCCCTTTGTATAAAACAGTCTATATAAACTCTACTATAGTAGTGTCGGTACTATGTATATACAATGCTGTCATTTTTCTCCTTCACATTTCATACTAATAATACAGTACAACTGTTCTCTAATATTAATGCATTTTTAAACAATACAAATGTTCAAACACTGTTATAACATTGCACGCACATATAAGAAAACAAGTGCACGACAATTTTCAATCATTTCTCTTCTTTTATATATATATATATATATATATATATATATATATATCATATAATGAAACGAATATATAACTAGTCGCCCTACTATATTCTTTTAGGCTTTCATTGGTAAAAATTTACACAATGGAAGAGGAGAATTGTTAATAAACTTAACAAAATTGTGCACCCGCTCTAATACCCCCTTTAATATTTACAATATTTTATAGAATTACGAGCTTCTAAAATGAAGCATTATTTATCAAAGTTTTACTTCTATTTCAATAATAAATGTAAAAATATTAAATAAAGAGCATAATTCAATGTAGATAATAATGATAATAAATATTTTGAATGCAAAAAATATTTTAAGAAAACGATCAACGTTAAATAAAAAAAAAAAAAAAAAAAAACGGAAAAGAAAAAGAAGAAAAAACGGGAGTACCTGTAATATTTCAGAAGGAATATTTTTTAAAATATGGATAAATTAATGAACTCTGAAAATATTCAAGAATGAAAAATCAATGCATTAATAATATCAATTTTTTAAAAGATGATCACCTTCAAGTGGTTAATTTCATATCAACAACTTCTAACACAATATTTAAGTTTTAAATCATTAAAATATATCTTTATATATATATATATANTATATATATATATATATATATATATATATATATATGCATATTTATATATAGATATATTTTTTATTAGCGTTCCTTTTTTATATTGTTTATGTTACCATTTACATTACTAAACGGCTTTCGAAAATAGATAAACGATCGTATAGAGTTGCACATATCTTTCCCTCTACAAACTAAATTATAAACAATTAACGATGGAGACTCATATTCGTTTGGAACGATTCCATCGACGGACGATTCGAAGAAACTAAAAAGTGGAAACCAAATTCTAGTTCTATTCGAATCACGTTGCATCAATGCTTGGTTATTCGCCAAAGTATGATAATATAAAAATAATCGCGAAGTTATATAAAATGCTACAAACACATCGATGGAATAATGTTCATGTGCAGCCAAGATAAAAAATATACCAAACATATTAAGCATCCATGTAAAGGTATGAAGGAAGTAGAGCTGTCTTGGAGTATCTGGAAATGAAAAAAGGCAATTTCTTAAGCGCTCAAATGTTTCCTCTTTAAGATTTAAAAAAAAAAAGAAAAGGAAAAAAAAGAATAAGTAAAACTAATTTTATTCTACATACTTGAATTCATACTCACATTCAGTGATAAAAAAATTCAGCATAGTTAATGCGACTGTATGACCGCTGAACATGTAATCTCCACAAGTTCTAACACCTTGTATGGACATACCAGCACCACGCCAGATAACATAAGCCATTGCAATTTTATTATATAACTCCACGTATGCAGAACTAGATAAACAACAAATGTTATTGAAAAAATGATTAATAAAGAACGTTAACATCTACTTAAATAATTTGATAGTACGCTCTCTCTATCATAAAAGTTCTCACCTAGTCCAATCTTCGTCTGGCACCTTCCTTGGTTGGCATTGTAAATGTGCTCCGGGAACAGAAAGAGATGTGATGAGCATTGTAACGCATCGCAATAAGAAGACTGTCCCAGAGAGGGCGAAAAATCTTCGTAATAAAATAAATCTATGGAGGGATAAGAGGCAATCAATCAAAAAAAATTGATGAGAAAATTATGGGAAATGCAGCATTTCTATCAAACAACACCGATAGATATCCATATAGTGGAAAATTTGTATGCCTTATACTTTTACCTATACTTGTGAAAAATAAGAACGATAAGCCAAATAGCAAAAAGTATAGTGCCAGTAACTTCGCACATGTCGAATGCCCATGGAATATGAGGAACGTTATCCAAAAATATATCTGGTAAAGGTGGATACTTTTTCATATCTGGCACTCGATCGTGCACTATTACCATTACAAAGGCAGTAATCCAAGTAACGATAAATAAATATGCTAAACTGATAAACGCTTTCCATATTTCAGGAGGTAAATGAGACGCGTGTCCATCTTCTGATACCGAAGCAGAATAAAATTCATTCTCTATAGAACCTTCATTATTTGTAACAACGCTGGGCATCTGTAGTGATTAAGCATAATATGTTAAATGAATATGCATTCATTTGAAAATATCTCTAAGAGACAAATATACTAATATTAGTAAATACTTACTTCGTGCTTGTGATGACCATAAAAATGTGGCGTTGTAAACAGATCAACGCATCCCAATTCAAAAAGCATTGCAACATTGTCTCTTTGCAATTGTTTAATACTGATATACAATCTTTTTAAGTCTCCTATTGTTTTATTCGATTGTATTGCTTCGGATTTTATATCTTCTTCTTTCAAAGTTAGAAGTACCTTACCATCTATGTCGTGCTTCTTAAATAATAATATAAAATGTGAATGTCCATTTTCAGCGAGCCAAACACTAACATTGTTGGTTGTCCAATCGACTACATTCTTCGTAGACATCGTTTACTACATTTGTTTACCAATGTCTTCTAAGAGTTGTCTTCTAAAACAAAATAATATTCTGTTATTCTATATGATTGACAGAGAAAGAGAGAGAGAGAGAGAGAGACAAAGTATAAATTAGTAAGACGCAATGGATGGCGCATGCATCCGCATTCGGTTACATGATGATGATGATGATGATGATGATGATGATTCAATAAGAGAAAAAAAATATTTAAAACTATCTATTATTATTAAAAATAATAAAAATAATCTAAACAATAAAACAAATTGATTGAATTTAAGAAATTATTATAGCGTTACATATAATAAATATTACATGTTTGCCAAGACGTGTTGCCTGTTTAAAGACGTTCCTCTGTCAGGAATTTTAGAATAACCTATTTATTTCGTAGGTAACGTTCACTCACCATGTAACTGCTCTTTGAGCTTTTCAGCTTCGTTATCACAGTATTTTCGTGCGTTTAATGTACATATTGATATATCATATCTATTACTTTATTGTCACAAATATTCATATGGTGACATTATTTGTAAACAATTTACACTAAGCAATATCATCGATTTCAATGCAATAAATATGTTTCGAATTATAGATTCAAACAATATATCGAGGTATCGATATTAATGTTCTTATTAAAGAATATACATATAATGTGTGTGAAAAATGTTTTATTATATCTCTATCTTTATTATACCTGGTGATTCATAACTTATGCGATAGAACAACGAAAGGAATACGAAATTCTTCTAGGATACAGCAACACACTTGATTTCATTGTTCCATCCTTCAGAGGATATGTACAAATCAGAAAATACTGTAATATATTTTAATCGAATTTGACATTAAAATACGAGCGATAAACTATTAATTTCCATAATCGAATGACTGATATCTTCTTTCAATCACGATATCATAGTACATCTCCTGATGCTTCCAGATTTGAACTTTGTCCATGTCACGTGTGAATTACAATAATCATCAATGCGCAAACATATACACAAATATCATAGATCTTAAATTCCTAGATAGAAGAGATTTGTTATTTCTTTTCTATTGTTTTTGCTATATTATTTTTCAAATACAATTAATGCGTGATAACAAAGAGTACGATTAGAGAATCAGAAGAGAAAATACAAAAATAGTATATTTATAAAGAGCGTTAATTCCTAGCAGTAGATGTCGTCGCATGGTGATATCAAATCTGTAACGGTAGTCGGTACGCGCCTAGCAGCGTACCGACGTGGTACACTAGCGCCACTTTTCCCTATACGGGAACTACACCAGTTAAGTTTTAGAATAATAATTTTAGAATAAATCGAAACTGATATCAGTCTTATATATGGCGTCCAAGAGAGTGTGTACTTGTTATTAATAATAAAAAAATTTTATATTTTCTCGTTGGTAAAATCCGAAAGTGAATATAAACAACTCTCGAGATAACCTTTATTACCACCGTCTTGGTACCCCCACAAAATGCCACTTACCGACGACATCACGACTCACGTTCATTGATAACGTGTCATAGGGACCCTTAGCCCCAGATAGATGCAACAACGCAAAAAGAAGTATTTATTATAAAATGCAATAAAGATCTTGTGTGCGCATCATGTGGGGTTAAAGACCCACAAGTATATAAATATACTTTTATAAATGACAATGTGTAGTGGCACTTCTGCATTGTAATAGCAGCACCCAGTTTAGGGAATTCGAGATGGCGTGCATGAAGCCGATAAAAGCCAGGCAAGAATTTCACTCGAGCATTTTCAGTCTATCCTGTGTATTATAAGTGCACGTGATAGAATAAACAATAATATACCGACCAATCAGGAAAGAATTATTATATTTATTTTCTTCGAAAAACCTTCGTAATATATAAATATTATATTTATGTCTCTTATCAATTAAATAATATTAACGAGAAGAAACCAAAGCAGTTATTTACGCATGCTTACTGTATTATTCGTGTGATATGAAAAAAGAGCCATGCGTCTTTTGTGCAACATGGCGACCGGCAAAGGACTTGCGATAATTTTTAGGCCAAAAAATATCAGTTTAATTAGTTGTAATAAACTTCATAAATTATCATGCAACGTTTTACAACAATGCAATGGATGCCAGCGATATGTTGCAAACTTGGCGATGGATGTCGGTGCTTGGAATAAGAAGAAAATGGGAAAACGTAACGTATAACGTATACCATTCACATTACGAAGAATCTAGATTACATCATTTTTTACTTTCTTAAATATAACTTGTCGTTTCTTGCACGTACATGTATATATATATATACATAAGACAAAACACTAAATATTCCACTTAAATATGTACTTTATATTAAGTATTACTAAAAGATTTATTTAACATATTCGAATCTTAAATATTTCATGCATTATATATATATATATATGTATATATGTATATGTATTACAAATTTTCAGGAATTATAGAAAATTTTGTACAACAGTGTAGATTATTTCATACGACGCAAAAGGTTTTAAAACGTGATTATTATGAAATTTTGGGAGTATCCAGGAATGCTTCTGCAAAAGATATAAAAAAAGCTTACTACCAGCTCGCAAAAAAATATCATCCTGATACTAACAAGGGTGATCCAGATTCGGGTAAAAAATTTCAAGAAGTTTCTGAAGCTTATGAAGTATTAAGCGACGATGCGAAAAGAAAAGAATATGATACTTGGGGTACAACCTCAGAGCAAATGGGAATGGGTCAAGGAAGTAGACAAAGTGCTAATGACTTTCAACAACAATGGCAATTTAGGTCTACACTTGATCCAGAAGAATTATTTAAAAAAATTTTTGGAGATGCTGGCTTTAAAAGTGGCATGTTTGGTGATTTTGAAGATTTTGCAGAATCAAAATATGGTTTTGCAGCATCAAAAGAGGTACTTTGTATTTCTTGTATTTTTCATTCGCAATCAACTAATTTCAAAATAACATCCTCTTTTCGCATATAGGTAATAATGGATCTAACTTTCTCACAAGCTGCCAGGGGTGTAAATAAAGATATTGAATTAAACGTAGTAGATACATGTCCAAGATGCGCTGGTTCTCGGTGTGAGATAGGAACGAAGGCTGTCAGGTGTGAACAATGTAAAGGTACTGGAATGGAAACTATTAGCACAGGACCTTTTGTAATGCGCTCAACTTGTCGCTATTGTAATGGTACTAGAATATACATAAAACATCCTTGTTCCGAGTGTGAAGGGAAAGGAAAAACGGTAGAGTATACTTGTCATTTAAATTTGTTACATTTTCTAGAATTTCGATATAATTGATTGTGTTGAATATCTATATGAGATAGATAGAGAGAGAGAGAGAGAGAGAGAGAGAGAATTTATTTAAATAGCATAATCTTTTTCAAAAGGTGCAACGAAAAAAAGTAACTGTACCAGTACCAGCTGGAGTAGAAGATGGTCAAACAGTACGCTTGGCTATTGATAACAAAGAAGTATTTATAACATTCCGCGTAGAAAAGTCCAAATACTTTCGCAGAGATGGATCCGATGTACATACTGATGCAGAAATATCTTTGTCGCAAGCTGTATTGGGTGGTACAATAAGGATAGAAGGTGTCTATGAAGATCAGACTGTACAGATTCGCCCAGGTACCAGCTCGCACACTAAAATACGTTTGACAAGCAAAGGATTAAGGAAAGTAAATGGATATGGTTATGGTGATCATTACGTAAATATTAAGATAACCGTGCCCGCAAAATTGACTGAGAAACAGAGAGCTTTACTTCAAGCATACGCTGAGCTTGAATCTGACACACCTGGCAGTATATATGGAATAACTTACAAAACAGATGGTAAGGATAAATATAACAAATCCTGATATCCTAATGATTTTAAGCGACTAAATTTAATTCCTTATTTTCCGAGCATTTACGTCTACTACTCCATATTTCAATCATACTTACATTATAATTGTGAAATAATTCTTTTTCGAATAGTAGTTATTTTTATGCTTATTGATCGATCTCTCACTTTTGGCTCAAATATTCTAACTATGAAATGTTAGAATGTTAAAATATTACATAGGGGACCAGTCAGACCTGTGCATCGCTTGAGTTTTCTTTTTACTTGTACACCTGTTTTTGCTAACCGAATAAATTGTATAGTAAATATGACACATGCGTTTCATTGAGGTTTGTGATTTACAATTCTAATTATTCTCTTTTTCTTTTTAAATATCGAGATCATCAAATATTCGCATATAAAAGTATGCGAACTATAGAAAGATAATAATTAAATTGAAATTATTTGATTAAAAATGTTACTTTAGCGTAAACAACAATCGTAGTCTCCATTTAAAACCATTTATTCTCTAGGCTCTGCACGCCGAAAGAAGCAAACTCAAGCGTCGCAGGAAGTAGAAAATGTTCAAAATAATGGCCTACTTAACAAAATTAAAAAAGCTATTTTTGGATAAAATCATTCTAGGTAAGTTAATTGCGTGTCGGAAATAAATATCCTTGATCATTGTACATCGTATGGTTGAGAAATAATGTTTCATTCATATTTCAAATAATGTAGACAATTGCGCAATTTCATTATTTTCGATGAAAATACATAGGATCCTATTATATATAGGAAATATGTTTAAAATGTCGATTTGGTTAAATCAATACCGCTCTTTGACACCGCTCTTTCTCTCGTTCCTATATCAACACGTAGTAACTCTGCGATTAAAAAAAAAAAAAACCCCTTACTAATAAGTTTCTTTTATCGCAATAATTAATATAATTTATATGTGCGTGTTTTTTATTCCTACAGGAACCAAACGATCCTTTGTGGGGCCATTAGATTTGGTAGAATCCATACGAGTGGCCCTAGGAGACGAACCGATTTGCAACAATAAATCTTCATCTTCTATACTTGAGCATCCGGGTGATAAAGCGCAAGGAGATAATATGTCCGCCAATATTGATTCAGACATTAATATTAAAAATAACGATAGGACAAAAAAAAGTAGTAACGATATAAGAAAACAAGAGGCGGCTCGTAATGGTAGTACTATATAAGGTGATAAATTTCTTATAAAAATGTTAACAATAAATGAAAAAATTGTTAACTAAATGCGCTGTTGTCCATATTTGCATAGCAAAGAATACGACAAATAATGGTTAAATTCAATAATCTTGTATATAATTAACGAGAATCTGATATTACATTGACATGCAAATAATTTAACATCAAACGTTTCACATTAACGTTACGTTTATCAAAATAAATTTCATTTGATTATGTAATATAATAAAAATACAATGCGCGTCTTGAAAATCATTAACAAGATTAATTAGCTGTTTTACAGGATGTGCGTGTATTACTGGTAAATAAATATGCAAAGTTAGTGTCACGTAAAAATGACGATGCAATCGGGGATCCTTTGAAATTAATTTATTCCTCCTTTTCGAACCTAATTAATATCCTTCCACTGAAGTACTTTTGCACATTAAGGGATCTTTAGTATAATTTATTTATAATTCACATAGAATCGAGGTATTAAATCGTATTTATTTGGAAATATTTAATTTACGTAGAAACTTGTGATTTTCTGGGTTTAGTGACAAAGACTTATTACTTTTGCTGAATTTCATTACTACTTTATTATTACGCAAATTTGTGCAATAGAAAGTGTACAAAAGATATGTACTAATAATTGTAATATTATCTCTTAGTTTGTACTTTTTTTTTACGATCGTATTAATTTTATATATATATATATAACAAATTAAAATGAATGTAAGTTTAGTTTGTCTTACCATTAATTAATATCGATATAAATGAAATATTTATATGAAAGTATTTACACACATCAAAAAATTGTTTGCATCACCTCAGTTCCAAGATCTCCTGTGAACATGGACGTTGACTGTGTCAGGGATTGTATCAAAGACACAGTCCTTTTGACTGTTTATACATAGGTGTCACTTAAATGTCATTAAACCCACACAGAGGGTTTAGTCATGTAGGCAGATGTCACTACCAACATGATACAACATGCAATATGTGGTTTTCATGAGCAATAAAAAAAGCTGAAATGTTATTTATGTTGATCTCTTTTTTTTGATGTGTGTATAAAGTTGATGAGCGCGTAGCTTTGATTATGAGTTTATTGTTAAAGTCAATGTAAAATTTCTTCTAGTAAGCTACTTCTTCTCGAAAATATGATATAGTAACGAAGATTTAATAAATTTGTAAAAGTTAATTCAATATGTTCGTTTATCGATAAATTAAATATCAACAAATTACCCGTGTGCGAGTTTCATGTATAACAATCATTCAATTCTCGAAGAAAAGAGATTTTATACGAATTCTTTTAGAATCACGTAGGATATACTTAGTTTGCAATAGGCTAACCAAGCTTGTTAAAATGTTTTTCTCTCTTTATTGATCAGGCTTCAGTGAGTAAACCATACTTTAGACCGATATTGGTCAAACTCTGAGTAGCCGATACTCTAAGAACGGCGACAGCTACTGCTGCTATAATGACAGCACCTTCCAAATATATCGCATAAAATACACGCACATAACCGCACGTTGTCGAAAGTCCACCGGCTGCTGTGAAATCTAAAGGAAATAAGACGCTCGCTGCCAATGGTCTTGATCTGGCTATGCCGAAACATAAAACCCCGAGGATGTAATAACCACCTGTGTGCATTAGTTATATTAAAAAAAAAAAAAAAAAAAATTCACTTTAAGACGCTTTAATACGTAAAACACGTTATGCATATATCATATATCATTTACTATTGATATTTTATTGACAAGTATTATCAAAAATATTGTTACTAATATAAGTTTAAAAGTTTTTAATATTGTACACTTACCAATACAAAGAAAGGGGACGAATTTGACCCACTTGGGTACTGGTCGTGGGTAACAAGATATTTCTATAGGATCTCGTTGTAAGTCCTTATTGGATATTTTTTTAATTGCATACTCTTGCAGTCGAACTGCTAGTAAAATACCAACGTTCATGATTAAGAGAAAATGCACTGGAATACCAATGGCTGCAAATACGATGGCCGCGGTACGGCCAGGATTCGTGCGAGGAACCGGTGCTCCAAAACCTATCAAAAAATCAATATCTCAAACGACGAGTTAGATGTTTCTTTGTATCTGTGTTCAAATGGTATTTAACGTTTTAACAAGCAAGTTAAACGATAAGTTTTTAAAATAGACGAAAGATTAGCCTTATATTACTTACGTGTCCTTATTTTCTTTCGTGGGAGGTATTTGTTGGGCGATAGGAGGATCAATTAGAAGCATGTATTTATACATATTTGCGAATGAGTAATGAAAAATAAATGGCGTAAATGTTACATTGTTGTCAGGTGAACATCTGACAAGATCACCGATACGATCATTGGACATGATTTAAAAGAAGCTGACAGCTCACCCAGAGTGGTGAGAAGTGATACAGCGAAGAGAAGGCAACCGGGGAAGGTCCAAAGCTGACCACCGTCGTTGGTTTCACCATATCCAGAGTTTACTGCTGCGAGAAGAAGTTGCTCATGTTTTGCAACATATTGACGCACCTTGCCGCTCCATAAGGGTTCCATGTCTTCCTCGTTCTCCGTACGTAATTGACGCAATTCGGTTGCTAAGCCAACAGCAAGGTCTTTCTGCATATCTTTTAACTCTACGACCTGTTCACGTTCGCGTGGACCTTCCGTAGCGCAAAAGGCTGCAGCTCCAGCTATTGCCCATATGCTCAACAACCATACGAGTCCTAAAAACGATTTCAACGCTTGTCGTTTATCTTGACAAATATATGATTTCTATTTCTATTAGGTTAAAATGCACGAAATATAAATATACTATATATACTATATACTATATACTAGTTATTAATATTTCTCCTTTTATCTCTGTTTATTCTCTTCTCACCCTCTTCGTGCCTCTTAAAACGATCGATACGCGACAAATAACTGTAAAATATTATTATTCAATAGTTATGCATATACCTTACGTTTATATTGTCTACCGTCATATTCGGACGCATAAAAAGGTGGAACGCATAAAATGATGTTCCTACCGAATTGAGAGAGCAACAGACGTCCCAAAAATCTTAAATGTTTCCAAATGACAGATTTTGGACTGGCAGATGCAGGATCATTTTCGTCGATGGTGTCCTCGAGAGATGGTAAGAATCTTAATCGTAAAGGTATCCTTACTGCCGTTTGTAAAGCAACAGATTTAGTTGTTTTATCGTGATGCACGCTATTTTGTACCCAAGAGGAAGCTTCCCTTGATATGGTCGAAGCTGTGTTCACAGAAAAGATGTTGTTCATGTATTAAATATGTATTATATAGAAGAAAGAACTTTCGATCGAAAAATATTTACGTGAATATTACTATGTGTTCTAAGTTTGCTAAAGTTTACGCTCGATCTTTCATTGCATTTCAATGTTAGAAAATTTCAATTGACACGCGCAGTGCACAGATACAAAAATCAAATCTATACTTTGTGAACTTGGAAAAAACTTGTCAAGATATCGCAAACAAAAGCGAAGCGAATAATGCACCTATGTGTATATATAAGTATACTAGTACAGTTTTCGCGATGATTATCGATTATTTCGACGTAGGAGACGGAGGAAAAGCTATGATATCGTATAATTACATAAACCATTATACATGAAATAAAATGATTTAAACAAATCCGGACTACATTATTAAAAAGAAATGTTCTTTTTTAATCAAAATGTAAAAAGTAAACAGATTTTTGTTTACTTTACAATTTGGACGTTTCAGTATGAAGCACGCGACGAAAATGTTATAAGAATATAATCTTTCTCGTAATAGCGACCAATTGTAAATATAAGTCTCGAATCGAATTTTATTTGAATATATGGAAAAAAAGTGTCGACACTTACTATCTGCGCAAATAACAACGTCGTCATCGTCGTCGTCGTCATCGTCGTTGTTCTTTTCTTCATCTTTATCCTTATCTCGAGGTTCGAGCATTTTTAAGCGAAATTCAGTGGTAACGCGACGTCGGCGCGCCTTCTTCGTAATTGTTGTTCTCTTCGGATGAACAAGGTTTCTTGAGACACGACGATATCCTTTCCCGCGAACAACGGGACTTTTTCTAAATTCCAAATATGAAGGAACATTGCCTGCGACAGTTGCTGCATGTCGTTCTAATTTGCTGCTATGCGTTACCACATCAGACGAGGCGACGTCGTAGACATCACTGACGGACGTTGCGGCGCCACCGAAGATCGGTGGCATTGGAAAGAGGGGAACGTTCATCGACAAAAAAAAAAAAAAATATGAAAAGTGATGGACGCGCCGCTAACACGATCCAACTTTTTCGAACACCTGTCGAAAGGTGCTTCTTCTATTCTCCAACGATTAAGTTTGGTTCACTCAATGTTTGGCTCAGGTCCCCAAATTTAAACGATTTCGATCTATTGTATTAATAACAAACTACAATAGAATAATTCTTTTTCTATTAGCTGAAGCAACCATAATATAAATGAACGATGCAAAGCGTCGTAGGGAATTGTTGCTTTAGGTTCATTGATAAACTTCTTTTAAACAGAGTAATGTAATTTTTTAATAAGGAAACTTCCGTTCGTGACGGCGAACGATTCGTTAATAACTACTACTGCTTTTGAATTGACTATTCATTTGATAGTCAATAGAATGTGTATTCTGTGTATTTTTCGCGTAGCATTCAACATACGTGAAAGGGATAGTAACGCGACGATTTTCCTCCCACCCGTTGGCCCACTAAAATTAGAGTAACATACTATTTCGGATCGATGTCGACTGCGTTAAATAACGACGATCGAATTTAACACAGTTTTAACGGCTATCGTTTTAATCTTATTGTTAGTTAATTTAGCAGCTTCGACAACGAAATAAGTAAGTTATATTAAGCTTAACATTTAGTTGTAACATTAATGGCAAAATAAATCAAAGATTATTTAAAAGATTAATATAGGAAGTTTTATAATCGTACGATGAACCTTGTCAAAAATAATTTTGTTGCTGCTGCTGCTGCTGCTGCTGCTGCTGCTGCAGCGGCGGCAACGACGGCGGCAACGACAACACCAACCAAATACGACTGCGCGCCAAACAAATCGATCTGTAAGAACGACTCTACATTTCTACATCTTTGGCATAGGCAGTGAACACAACGGAGGCTCGATGGACACATCTTTTTCGTAATAATATGGGACGTGTTACGTTCTTTATCGCGATCTCTCTAAACGTGAGATTGTAAAAAGTCATGCGCGGTCCTCCGCGAAGATCGATTATCGTGTGGCTTACTCTAGCGTTCTTCTTACTTTTTGTTTGTCGATTATTGCTTGACCGAGGTTATCGCCTTCATTTATTGTCGATAGAAAACGCAAAGGAACGATCGTATGGAATAAAGAAAAGTCGAGTGCAAACGTTGAATTATCGAGGGGAAGATGTATCAACGGGTGGAACCTCCGCGTATATCGCTGGTGCTTACATGGCCGGTCGGTTATCTGGAAATGAAAGTTCTTGCATCTGGTATTACGGTTTACCGCGTTCTCTTTCATATCCTTCCTCGAAGATAAACTGGACACCAGAGATTGGAGAGAAGAGCCCGTATAGAGTACTTCCGTTTGCTATACGTGGCAAAGACCGAGACCGAGAGGATGCACCGCCGATAACTTTATGCACTCACGCGACAGCCGACCAAGTTTACGGCATCGTCGAACTCGCCCGCAGGTGGGAGGGACCATTGAGCCTGGCCGTTTTCGCGCCCGGTCTCGACGCCGGCCTGGCCGTCGCTCTACTCGATCGTGCTTGTCGATGTGAAACAGCCATGTCCAAGGTTTCCTTTGGTCCTGCCTATCCGCCTTTTTACCTAGTTTCCCATTTTTCCATTTTAACGCCTCCGACCATCTCCTTATCTCTAGTTATCACAAGCACGACTCCCATAGATTATATTCCCAAAGTAGAAGCAATTATCGACAAATAGTATCGACAAATAGTATCGACAAATAGTATCGACAAATAGTATCGACAAATAGTATCGACAAATAGTATCGACAAATAGTATCGACGTCTGGCACTTTCCTTCGTTAGAAATGTCTAACTATCGCGGTGCTACATGATCTATCTGGTATTTATCTCAATACCAATTGAATCGTGCTTTAACAATTTAATCAGATGCAACCCGAACGAATGCACGCAAGTGGTGTCAATTAGCATGCAACTTTAAGTCCAGCTGCGGCCATTGCTCAGTTTTAGAGCGAATAATAATTGACTATTTCACTCTCATTCCTCAATAGGTATCCGTCCATTTAGTATTTCCCGCGGGAAGAGTACCCGCTCTTGGTCGAGCCTATAAAGAAAAAGATGATTGTACCGCTTCGGATCTACAATGGCGAGGAACGGAGACCGAAAGATGGAAGAGCGGTATGACGTATCCTATTAACGTAGCAAGGAATGTGGCTAGAACCTCGGCTAGTACTGCACGCGTTCTCGTATCCGACATTGAACTTTTACCCAGCGAGAGATTAGCCTCCGGATTTGTAGCTATGGTCCATGGTAGACCGCCTAAACTTGGCGTCGTCTTTGTTCTACCTGTATTCGAAATCGATAAGAATGAGCAGCCCCCATCGAATAAAAGAGAACTCCTGTCTGCAGTTAAAGCTGGTCTAGCTGTTTACTTTCATAGGTATAGGTAAAAACGAATAGAGAAACATAAAGTACATTATAGAACAATTATGTATATCATGTCGAATCAAATTGTCAAAAAGAAACTAAACAAGCATATACTCGTATTTCTATCATATTACATGTATGTATGTTACMAAAATATCATTTACCTTAGATTCCTGTGCCCACATTGCCAAAGATTTCCAGGCTTAACCAGGTGGATGGTAAGGACAGACCCAGGAAAAGTCAAACCTCTTATTATTACTCGCAGAGAATATCCCCATCATAGATGGGAGCCTGTCTTCATAGGGATGCGAGAAGATCCTCTTTATACGGAAAATATGTCTTGGGAAGGAAAACAAGATAAAATGGCACAGGTATTTTTAATCATTTTTCAAACAGAATAAACAACAGAGATAAATATATAATAATCGTTTTTACAGATGTTCGAGATGTGTCTCTTAAATTATCGTTTAGTTGTACTCGATGGTGCCTTCTTAGTACATACACCAGGAATTAAGCGTAAACCACAGATTGTCGGGGTAGCGAGAAAAGAATTTTTGAGACCTCATGAAAAAAAAAATGCAAAACTTTACCAACGGGTCGTTAAGAGATTGCTCGCGCAATATCCTACTAATCGTAAATGCACGCAATGATGATTAATATTAAACATTCAAATTATTATTTTCAAAAAGAGTATCAAATTGTAAGGCATATTTTTTAGCCTTGGCGTTACATGCTAATCATAACGTAAAACCAATTTTCATAGTTTCTATTGTTAAGTATTTTATCTTGAATCAATTAGATGAAAACAATTCAAATAATAAATTATTATTCTTACTTTATATAAGGAAGAATTATTTAAAAAAAAAAAAAAAACAATACTTACCAAATATATAGTTACAAATCAATCAGCATCATATAAAGTTTTAATCTTTCTGTCCAACGCAATCCTCTTATTTATTTGCACCACTGTATAATGTCTAATACAGATTTAGTATTAGAATTATTCTTCCCCTGAAAATAAAATTGTTTAAACAATCTATATATGTTTGTTTCAACGATCAAAATTATAATAAAAGTGCATTAAAAAAATTTTGTTTATGTCTTCTATTTATATATTTTAATAAAAATAATTGTTAAAAAACCTAACAAAATTTCTATTGCTGTTTAAAAGCGCATTATATACTTAAGTACGGTGCTTCGCCTTCTGTATAATTCACCTTCAGACTAGCAAGTTATATTCTACGAAATTCCTTTAATTAAATGTTATTTAAATGAAATTCCGAATGTTGCAAATGTATGCAACGGTTATAATTTTTCTAATAGAGAGAATTTGAGCTTATATCGTTCTAATTTTAACATTTTTTTTCATTCTAATGTAATTATTTTATCGCTCCTACGCTCCTACACATCACAGTGATGTGACTTTGAGGGTTAAATTGTCCTGTATTGTAGAAAAAGTGTATTAAAATGCATAAACAATTGTTAATTAATCGTTGAGAATGTTTATTGATGTCTAAAAGCTTGAATTATAAGATCGGAGTACCGTCCTCTTCGAGATTTTCACCTTGCAGACTAACACGTTGTCATCTGTCAGAATTCCTTTATTCAATGCAGTTTATATGACTTTCCGAACACTACGCATGTGTGCAACTGTAATACACACATCAAAAAGAGTCTTGCATTACMTCGATTCCAAGATCTCTCCTGAACATAGACATTGTCTGTTCATGGATGTCACTATGAACATACAACAATATAACATACCTATTCGTAGGGTAGGGTATTTCTGAAAAGTTCGTAGGGTAGGAGTTGATAATTGATCATACAACAGGGGAGGTAAACTGAAAGTGTCTACTTATTACTATCAAGAATAAGAAGAATCCAACAACACTGCAACTATGAAAGATTTTTGAATGCACTATTCTTATTATACTTACRTTGGGAAGAAATCATATGCAGTTATATTCTATCAGAAGATTAGCAGAAGGAATGCATCCTAGTTATCACAAATTAGAAAAACAAATGGCTAATACATTATATTATGAAACTCTGTTCTTGTACAAAATTTTTTTTTACCAGGTTTTCTAAACGATAATGGAAAATATTATTT